TGTAACCAGGTGGAGATCTGATCTCTGCTTTATGCAGATTATGTGGTTGTATTAGGTTCATCAGGTGGAGGCCCTCCAACAAGCACTAGAGTGGTTCCCAGTGTGAATTTGCGGGAATAAGAATCCGCACCTCAAAATCAAAGGCCATGGTCCTCAGCAGCAAAAGAGTGAAGTGCTCAGTCCGGGTCAGGGATGAGTTGCTGCCCGAAGTGGAGGAGTTTATCTCTGGGTTGTGTTTACAAGTGAGAGGAGAGTGAGAGACAGAGATGGACCTGTGGAAGCGTCTGCATTTATACAGACACTGTCTGTCGTGCCAAAGAGGGAGCCGAGTGTAAAAGGGAAGCTCTCAATTTACCAGTCTATGTAACCTACCCTCACCTTCCTACTGTCACGAGCTTTGGGTAAAGCCCAAAAGAGGGAGATTGTGCAAATACAACAGCAGAAATTAGTTTCCTTCAAAGAATGGCTGGGCTCTCCTTTAGAGATAGGGTGAGGAGTCAATCGAGAGGGGCTCAGAGTAAAACCACTACTCCTCAGGATCGAAAAAGCCAGTTAAGGTGGTTGGGGCATCTGATTAGCATACCTCCTGAGCATCTCCTGGGTGAGGTGTTCGGGGCATATCCCACTCGGAGGAGGCCCCGTAGCTGACCGACCCAAACACTAACCCTATCTTAATATCAAGAAAACTACTTAAGATTTTACAGTGAATAGCTATTTACGTACTTAGCACTTTTAAACCCTCCTTTTATTCTTTCTTATCCATTTGTTAGTGAATTTGTAGGTTTAATAGTTTCATAGTTCATTGAAAAAAAGTATGATTATAAGGATCGGGATTTAAAACTGAACCAATCCTGACAAACAGGGGGAGACAGGTTTTTTTCTTAAACTGATATTTTTTTTATCTTCTTTAGTCAATTTGCCATTTAATTCCTCTAATCTGCAGTTTTACTTTTCTATTTTTCCAGTATTATTGGGAACATCAGAACATCACACCAACTGCCATGCAAAGAATCTGGAGGGTAAATGCCTAGTGCACCTCTGTGGACAACTGCTGAAAACAGAGACGTCACAGAAATCAATAGCCTTTGATGTCTCAAAATGAGTGATTTAATTTCCTTTCAGACAGACAAAATATGCTTAATCTCTGTCCACTTTTCTGATGGACAACCAAAAATTGATACAAAAATTAAGTTCAAGGTTTCAATGTGAGCCGCACATGCGTTGAAAGGGCACATCAAAGACTATCACCTACCCCTGGCAGAATCTTCATGTTGTGCAGAGCATTCTGCGCTTCTAAGGCGGATTTGCGGCTATAGTAAGTTACAAAACAGCAACCTGCCAGAGATTGGAAAAGAAAAATCTTACTCAGCTGATTCACATCATACAAAGATCATGTTTTTCCTTTTTTGCTAATTAAAAACAAAGGACATTAACACAGCAAACCAAAAATAAAATCAATATATTCAATTTCAGAAGATTAGTAGTATAACTGGTTCAATTCATTCAGTCTTTTTTAAAACATAAAAATAAACTAATATTACTCTAGGTTTAGCAAATGTCAGAATAATAATAAAGTGTTTTGAGGGGTTATTTTGCCACCTCGAGCAAATTCACAGAATGTCACACAACAGAAGAAGCAAAGGATAAAATAATGCCTTCTATTACAATATGCATTAAAAATAACAAATGACAGTGATGTAAACTTTTTTTAAACTCCTGTACCTCACAAAGTACGAGGGAAATAACTACTGTTAACACTTGATAAACATTCATAGGCAAGGTGTTGATAAAATTCAGCTCAATAAAGATAACCCTATTATGCACGCATGCATTTTGCAAATAACAATTCTTAACTCATTAATGTGGTCAGTGAAGAATACATCTAACATAATTTAACGTGTTCATAGAGCACTTTATTCTATACATGTTAAGCACTTGATCTAATCAGAGATGGAAGCCAGAGCACCACCACCACCCAGGCATGGACAGAACATTTAAACTCCACAAAGAAAGGCCCCTGTTGGGTTTCCAACCAGGAATCTGAATGCTGCACCACTGTGCTGCCCACGAGCCGTTTAGAGCCACACATGATTTTAAAACAACATGGGTTGTGTTTAATTCATCAACAATTTACGATTATTATTATTCATTCAAATCAGAACCACAATAACACGTATATGCTGTTGATGAAAGGATATTTAATCTATTCCGTTTACAAAATTTAAATGTTTCAAGAAAACAGTGAATTCTTTTTAAGAATTGTTGAGGACTGATTTATAGACAAACATGTGGATAATACCACAGCAGTAGTTGTACTTTCCATCTTTTTGTCTAACACACAGTGACCAAACACATTAAATGTTTCATAAAGTACAGAAACTCTCCAAAAGCCACTCGGACTTGTTCCAATTAAGGACAGATTACAAATGTGTGTTGTAGTCCCCGTCACTATGATGGCATACAAAGTCTGGTTATTGAAGAACTTTCACGGGAGCTTCATAGAAGCAGTATAGTAATAGAAGAAATTGGGAAACATCTCAGAAGCAAACAGTATACCAGGGTGTCCAAACCTTTTGCAAAGAGGGCCCGATGTGGGGAGGAGAGGTGGGGGCTGACCATTCAGCCTGACATTCTTCAAACCATTAACATTAAATGCAAATGAATTATTTAATGACATTTTTATTGCAAATGGCACACTTTTCATTTCTTCACACAGAACGCAAATAAATCTTAACTGTTTTACCAAAATCACTATTGAAAACTTTTGAGAAGGTTAAACATATCCTCCAATAAAAATCCATTCACTGAGATTGTAGAATTCATTCCCCTCAAAAGACTTAACAAATAACTTGCCTGCACTAATGTGAAGGGTGACACTGAGACCTCGATTGCATTAAAAAGGCCAGGTCTGGCTCAGAGACAGTGATGCTGGTGACTTCTTGCTAAAGTTCATAACCAAGAATGTCTTTCCAAACAAGCTTATCAATTTCTTAGAAATGTTCAAATCTCTTGGAACCTGCTTTCATAAAGCTGGTGGTAAAAGTTGAAAAGCAGGAGCTGTTGGTGCCAAATGTGACACTCAGCGTCACACTGTAGCTTGATGAGCGCCACCTGCAGGTGGTCTGGAGCGTCACCGGGGTTCACGGAGAAAGGAGAGGAAAAACCAGCCAAATCCAGGACACGCTGTTGAAACTGCTCAGCGAGAAATGAGACGTCTGCACGATTCTCCTCATATGCACACTGATATTCGTCTGTGGAAAACTGGTGATTTTTATTTCCTGTAGCAATGGGAAATTTGGAGTATTGGGCTGCATTTGTGACTGCAGTCAAGTTAGCTATCATTTGTGAGCCGCAGTGAGGCCAGCCGCCTCCTGTCCGCCATATAAACGTTCTTGCACTTTTACAACTGCACTGATTCTCCTTCATTGCTGATCGCAAATGTAAGCTTGTGCAGACATAACAACAAACATTGCACTGAAAGAGCCTGACTGCATCATATTCAAAAATTCATTAAAAGTCACCCTTGATAGTTGATGTGAAACTTTCAGATTTTTTCTCTCCTCTGGGCCAAGTTTCATCTCAAACTGCTTTCATACCCCCAAGAAATTAAAGGATGTCTGCTCAAATTTAAAAACTTCAAAAGGAATGTGATAACGTCACATACAAATTTTATTAAAATTCATCTGTGACTGTAAACTAGAGATGGACCGATCCGATATTACGTATCGGTCCAATACTGACGTAAATTACTGGATCGGATATCGGAGAGAAATTAAAAAATGTAATCCGATCCATTAAATATCACAAAAGCACCTCACAAAACTTGTCACGACATGGCGTAACTCGGCTCATAACCTTACCACGTCGGAGTAGTGTGGTCACGTGATAGAGCGGCTGTGCGAGACCTCTCGGCGGTCTGGTTGAAGCCTCACTACCAAACCAGCATTTCATCTCAGAGAAAGTTTTCCCAGAGAGAAGTAAAGCAAGTGTGTAAGTTCATCTCTGAATGTTTGTAAAGCATTCCCAC